AAACTTTGAAGCTCACATTAACTAGCAGGTGGGGAATTTCACTCATACCAGCTCCCAGAGGACAAATCCTGGAGAGTAGTTATTAAGGGCCTTCATCACACCAAGCCAAAAGAAAATATTAAAAATCAGTTAAAAGGACTAGGTTACGAAGTAACTGACGCCACCAAAGACGTCCCTCAAGATGATTTTCATCGATCATTAATAATAAAAATTTTAAAAATATTTGACATCATGAATATATATTATTCTCCCGTGAAAATTGAAGAGCCATAACGAAAAATGACTGTTCCACGAGGTTTAAGGTGTTAGCAGTATGGTCACACAAGATGATACAGCAACCACACACCGAGATGTCTCCGATGTGGCCTTAACCACGAGAACACTACATGTACTAAATTAAGCCTCCTACATGTGCCAATTGAAAGGAACATCATCGAGCTAACTGTAAGGACTGTCAAACCCTAAAGGAACTTCGAAATGGCAGAAGACATTTTCAGCGGGTAACACCACCTCGCCCCTTAGGCAGCCATTCGTCTGCCAATCTTTTAGGAATCTTCTCTTCCCTCAAATGTGTATTCTGTGTGCAAAGTAGGTTCACTTCTTCTTTGATGATGAGGGTTATGAAGAAGACCAAGCTGTTTCAGGTTCGTCTTCGGTTTTGAGTGATACAAGAATTGAAAGATTGGATTCAAGATAAACTCTGTCAACACCCCAGTCCATGTTTTTTGTTACGGCATCAAGTGTAACAAAGAATAATCAGAACAAAGAGTTTAGCTTCATTTGACGGCAGTACAATCTGCGATTGCTTTTATTATAAAAAAAGTCGAATAAGTCGGGAGTTTAACTAGTAGGTAGGAGTATCTCGATAAATTGTGTCTAATGAAAGATTGTGGAGGACACGCAATAGAGTTCTAGGTCTTGGGGTGCAGGATAGGGAACCCCTGGGTGATTGGTATTAAAATCACCTCCAGCGATGATATATCTTTCCAAGAGTCTGAAAAAGTTTGAACACATTGTAGGTGTCAAAAAGTACTTTGGAGTACAATATGCAGTATCGAAATTGATGGTGTGATGTTTTATGTAGAGTGTGATGTCTTTTGATTGTATGTTTGGTGTTATTGGTATGTTTACCCAAGGTGTCAAATGAGTTTGGAAGATCAGTGTCTGTCCGCTTTTCGTGCAAGTATAAGTCAAGTTCTGTTCTATGTTGATTGAGTCCATCAGCGTCCCAAAGAATTGATAAGTTTTTACTGCCTATCGCATTCCACAGCCATTATATTCTTAACAATTACATTAATTATATTCGTTAAGTGGAAATCAACATCAGACCATTATTTCACAAATTTCAACAAAATTTAATGGACCGTTTTCGAAATATAATATCGAGAGAAATGCGTTTGCTTATCGGAAAACGAACTAGTATAGGATAGAACTTGATATTTGGATCAATTTATCATTACTCCTTAACTTTCCTTCATTTCATTCCCGAAAATTTCATCAAAATCGGACTAACGATAGCGGATGACACGCAATCCAAATTAATTTTGACTAAAGAAGGGGAGCGAAATTCGATGTTCAATTCGTCAACTTTTAATGTAGCCCATTTGAAAATTTGTCCGAAAAGAGAAAGTAAAACATTAAATTTAACTCAATGCTTACATAACAATATGATAAATGATTTCAATATAAATTACACAATTAAATTGTATCGTATAAGTGACGGGCTAATTCATATTAAACCTTCCACTTTCTTCGTACCTTTAATGAGAAGATCACAAAAGCTTCCATATGTTTGCTAATCTTTTTGAATAACCATTGATAAACGTCAAAGATATAAATATATCGATATATCGACGAAACATAGGTTAAAGAAAAGTAAAAATAATAGATGTCTTAAATACTAAATATCTCTGACATTACTTAAAACTACGACTACCAGATATTACCAAAGGTTGATGTTTTTTTTTTACTATAAAATAAATAAAATGATCGCAATATTTAATGAGTAAAAAAAGGATTTTTTTTTAAATTAAAGATCTTGATAACAGTGCAAACTGATGGAAACAAGTCAGAATAAGTGGGCGGGGTCGGCGAATTGCAAGTAGAAACCACTTTTCCTTTTTTCCAAAAAAAAAAACGCCTATACCTTTAAAGTTTGTTGTTTAATTTATTAATTACAAGAACTAAACTCAACATATGGAAGATAAAATGGAAAATGAATTCATTTTGATACAAGACAAATTGTTAACATTTTAATTAAGCCCTTTTCAGTTGTAATTAATCAATTTCAATAAAAATAAATAAAAAAATTGTTAGAAGTTTTGTGGCTTAACTGATTGATTTATTCAACAAATTAAAAACACTTCTAGTATTCTTTTGAATACAAAACTCCTGTTCTAATATTACAATATTATTTATGATTATCATTAAATTATGAGCATGGAGGTGGAACAGCAGAACTAAGTAAAGCAAGAGTCTACTAGATTACTAAACAAACATATATTTATCACGCGCCACGAACATCAGTATATGTTCATCATAAGTTTCCATACCTTATTATATAATACTGCGATATTTATTTATTTGGTAACAAAACTTCAACTGATATTAAAATGTACAAAAAAAAGGTCAGTGGAATCTACAGATGATATGGGTCAGAATGGGTTCATCACATTAATCTTACATCAGTTAGAACTAAATGACAGCGATAGCAGGTTATTGGTTCAGTAATATTATCATCTTCAAAATTTTAAAACCATTTTGGAGATAGGTAGGATAGGGGTGTTTTACAGCGATGAATTGCTAGATTATTACACCCTGAAAAACCATTTTGGAATGCCTACGATCTAACATAAACGACCTTCAATGTATGTATGTATATATATATATTTATTTATTCACGAATCGAAGAAATAGGAATAGTAAGAAGAGAACTTTATAAAATTTATATTAATTTCTGAGGTAAAAAAGTGTTCTTCTCTACATGTTTAATTAACCTGTGTTTTTACTTTTTAAATAGTCTATTGATTACTGAATCTGCTAACTAAACAGACTAATATTAAAAATGCAAACAGAAATAATCAGTTCAGGGGCGCATATATCAGGATTGTTGCAACTCCCTTTAAGTAGTAAATGTAATTAAACATCAACGCTTATTTTATATGAGAAGATAAATAAAACAAATGAACACAATGTTTTGAATGGCAACTGAAATGATTATGAATTGCAGAGAAATATATAATAATAAATGCACACCTGCAGTCTTGAAACAATTCAATGGAGACTAATAATAATTTAAGATGCAATATCCATTTTAATGGGTCGACATTAAGAATACTATTTTCATCAGTATTTACAACTGTCACTTTTGACAAAGGTAAACTGTTAAAGACACACAAGGTAGTACACGCCCAAGTAGTAATTTTTACCTTAATGATAAGTTCGATTTCTGGGACATCTCCATTTTCAACTCCGTTGTGATTGTTAGTTTCATCAGACATTTTTCTTCACAGGCACTATACACTATAAGATTTACCGGCTTGAAAATAAAAAAACTCGTAACTGAAACAACACAAACCACGTCTCTGCTCTGACTGTTGCTTTAGTAATGGCGGTTATTACCTACTCACCAGCAGTGCTACCAACATTTTACAAGTTACAAAATAAATGGTTTCTTTTTAATTTCAATATATATTTTATAACTATAAAATCTAAACATTGAAATTGGTTGCTTAAAAAACGAAAAGTAAATCAAATCAACTAAAAATGTTTCATAATAGGAAACAACAACTATTATGGAGATTTATTTTCCTTTGGATTAGACACACCAATACAGAAACCTTAAGCAATAAAACTTCTTTTAATATGCTTATTTTTTTAAAAATAATTTAAAGGTGGGTTTAGGCATTTCACAAACTATGCAATACAATTATCTAACTTAACATATATATATTCCAACTGAGTTTAGTACTTTTTAATTTTCAATAAACTGAATAATCAATAGAGAATTTTGAATTAATTCAAAAGTATCAATTTAAAAATTTAGAAAAATTAACTCCCACTAAAACCCAGAAGGGCCAATGGTCTTCACAAATTTAGAGATTAGCTGCCCCTAAAAGACTCCAATTAAAAACCGATACTGATTCTAAAATTAGTAATATCAAGACTTCACTCATTCACCCTAGAGCATAAATATAAAAACACAAATCAATGCTTCACTATTTAGACTACACATAAAATAATTCATGGAAAATTACATGGATATGCTAACAAAATCATACATAACATGCCCACAATAAATGTTCACCTGAGGCAAAAAAAGGTAGCTAACAAATCTCAAATAGAGCTTTTTTAAGCTCATTTTAGGAGCAGATACCATTCAGCGTTGACATCCCTCTTATCTGACTGGCCAATTATGTCAAGCAATAACACATCAGTTTATTTTTAAGAGTTGGGCAACAGATGGAGATATAAAATGACAGTTACAATAAACAAAAAAAAAAAAAAATTGAACAAAGGGAACCAATAAAATGATTTCGGGAAACTTCAAATATAACTTATTCTATTCACAAAACACGATAAGTTATAAAATTTAGTAATTGGACTATTAAAACTTAATTACTAATTGATATATCACAAAGGTTTCATCAAGATTACATACAATAAAAAAAACTGATAAAGGAAGATTAAATTATAATTAAAGAAGCTAACTTATATATAATGCATCACCATAAGGGATCTTTCAATATTAATAAAACAAAACAGTTAAATAAAATCAGTTCATATGTATTTTAACATACATAGTAGAATAAAAATTAATTTTATAACAAAGATAGTTATATATTTTTCTTTTTTATGAAGACTGTTCATACACAAATACAAAAGAAAAAAAAAAATTATTATTTGATTTTTGTGATTAAATCTTCTTGTTTCAATAAATTTGTTTGAAGTGAGAAATATGAATAACCCATAAAAGTTGTCTGTATAATAAAAATATTATATCAGTCACTCAATTCTTTTTTTTGTTTTTTGACATCTAATGATTTTCCTTTTCTTTTTAATTTATCATCTTCGGAAAAAGATGATTCACTAGGATCATTTTTTTTCTTTTTCTTTTTTTTACTCTCTTTTTTCTTCTTTTTCAGATTTTTATCATTTTTCCTCTTTTTCTTTCTTGGTCGACTTGAATCAGTATCTTCAGAGCTTGAAGTATCACTGTCACTGTCGTCGGTACTTGTGCGCCTCCTTTTTTTTATCACTTTAACTATTTTTTTATACTTAGTTTTTCTTCTCTTTCTGTCTGAATCTGAACTCTCTTCAGAGCTTTCTGAATCTGAAGAATCATTTTTCTTTTTCTTGATAATCTTTACCAACTTTCCTCTATGATAATATTTTTTAGCAACAGTGACATTATGTTTGCGCTTCCTCCTTTGATCAAGAGAAGAAGAAGAGCTGGAAGAATCGTCACTATTACTAGAAGTACTCTCACTAGATGTGCTGGGCTTTCTTTTCTTTTTTTTCTTATCTTTTATCGCTGATGTACTCCCTTTTTCAGGTGTCATATTTTCAACACTACTGTCTAAAAGAGATCGGTCAGTTTCAACAACTACCTTTGGTTGGGCTTCCTCTGAGTTATTCTTCGGCTCAATTTCTTCTTTTTGCACTACTTCTTCCTTGACTTTACTATGTGAATTACTTGATGAAGCCAAATCCTTGGTTTTGGAATCTATCTTCTCAACTTTTTCTTTATTTTGGCGAGAGGAATCATGTTTCGACTCCTCTTTGGCTTCATGTACTTCCTTGCTTTTACTGCTTTCTGCTTTTTCATTTTTTCTATCATCATTATGATGTTCACCACGTCTAGAACTGGATGTAGTTGAATCTTTTTTATCTGTTCCATTACGTCTTTTATCTTTATCACCATCTCGTCTCCTATCTTCATCCCTTCTACTACGTTCTTCACGTCTGCTGCTATACTTCCTCTCTTCTTCACGTCTTCTTTCTTCCCTCAACTCTCTCCTCTTTCTATCTTCATCATATCTATCTTCTTCCCCTCTGTCTCTCCAATTGTCATCATCCCTACGACGAGAGTCATCACCTTTCCTTCTTTCTCGCCTTCGGTAATCATCAGCATCTCTATCAGTTCTCCGTCTTCTGTCATCGTCTCTTCGTCTATCATTTCTATCTCTGTCTCTATCCCTTTCTCTATCTCTATAATAATCTTTTTTGCTAGATCCATGACGATCCACACTCCTAGAGTTATCCTTTTCTTCAGGCTGAAACAAACCACAATAATGATTTAAAAGAAAACATCACTAGTTGTAACTGATAATTTTTTTTTAAATTTGATTCTGTAGCTGTAACTGTGTAACCTAAGCCATTTTAAATAACTCTATAACTCACAGCAATTTATAGTTATTATGTACATCTGCATTTTGTTTTTTTAACCAACAACTGAGAAATCGCAAAAACAATTACATCACATCAAAACATACATTATTTCATAGTAACTGTCCCGAAATAGAATTTGTGAAAAATGTTTATATGTACATACATTAATTTCACGTTTATTGTACACATCAATAAAGAAAATTATTTATTATCGTATCCAGGCTAAAACAATCAGTCTTCTGCTCACTTCCCAATAATATAACCTAATCCATATAACTTAACATATAATAATCTGATTTCCAGAGTTCAACGAAGTTAAAAATACTTTAAAATACCAATAAAGATTATATATTACACCACACACTTGATAATTTGACGAATGAGGATTATAAAATTCTCCAAGTTCTGAAGAGTATGAAAAATAAAATAAATGGGTCAAACTTGCGATTTTTTCGGTTATATTAGAAATCCATATGAATTTATGTCTTTATAAATTGTATGATACATACGAAACATTTAATAAGAAACTGATATTGAAATGTTGGCTCACAGTTTACATCTAATTCAGTTTTAAGTTAGTTTACATCTAATTCAGTTTTAAGTTAATTTAAAATAATATATAAAAATAATAAAATGCATTTTATATTCTTATAGAGTTTGATTTTAGTAATTAATAAATAAAAACCTAGTGTTTTAAAGGCACTTTTATATACTTCTAAAAATGTCCATATTTTTATGCATTCAATGTCAGAAACAAACATAAGTTTTTTTAAATTGCGCTTTCATGAGAGAAATAATGAAAGAAAATTTTTTTTTTTGTGATGATCTTAACTAAAAAAAAAATGTTTACGATATTGAATCAGTTTCATAAATAAACGTTAGCGAGTCAAATATAATCACACTTAAAAAGAAAGTACTGACCATAATAGAGAAAAGAAAATGCAACATTCAACCTGGTAGGTTACGAAAAATAAAAGATAAATGAAATTTTAAATGTTTAAACCAATAATGCCAAAATGGTTGAATCTCTTAGAGTAAGACCATATTTGGTCTTAGTCAGCCCACCAAATCTACCAAGCTGATTGATTTTAGTGCGAGATAGATGGATGCGACTCGATCTTGGTCTGTGTTCTCCTTGTGATTCACTTGGTCTTACAGCTCGGTGTTCAAATCTAAAATTAACCACTTAAAAAAAGAAATACAATTTTTTTTTTCAACCATCAAAAATATCATATTTTACCTGTCCGCTACTAGAGCCTTTAAGTTAATAAAAAATAATTCAGTTCAGGCCTTTTTTGAGACAATATAACACTAATTGTAACAAATTTAACACCAATTAAAAATAAATCAGTCCAGCCACTGACATTTTATGGAAATTTAACATAAAATTATTAAAAAGGAATTTATATTTAATTAATGATAATGTTTTTGTTTTTTTCATGCTTTACCAGGCCTGATTGAATGCATGAATATTATTTTTATCTCTAAAGTTGATGTCTTGCATGTAATGTCTAGCATCATGCATACCTCTATAACAAATACCAATTTATATAATTAGAAAAATGTAATATGTAAAAATTTATAAGATGTTAAGCTAAATGTACAAAATTGTTATTATATTCTAGGAGCTGCTTTAAATTAAAGGGGAATATATAAAAAAAAAACAAAAAAACTGGAACCACTAAAACCCATACACATAAAGGGTCTTGGGTTCAGTATTTTGTATGGAAATACTGTTTCATGGTCAACAGTTGTTCAAGGAGGTGATTTAAGCGAGGTCACGCTCAAACACCCGGTTTTCCCCCTTACTTAATTATTTAATTAAGAGTACCCACCTTATAGAGGCTGAGTGTGCCACAGTATGGTTCCCAACCCCAAGGTTGATCCACTGCCGAAGAAACAGAATAAATAATTTATCTGCTATCAGTCAGATTCGTCTTTGGAAGTCCGCGCCCTACCACTAAGCTACCCCACTCCCTGAAGGGAATATATACAACTGAATAGATTTAGCATTTGTCTTCTTCATTTGTTCATTTTTTATAAGTATTACTTTTATTTTTTAAAGAACCTTCTGTACCTCTCGCTCCACTTATCTAGGTTTGATTAAAACAGAATAAAAATAATTATCAAGAAACATTTAGGAAGCCCAATTTGTTACAGATACATATAAAAGGATTATTAAACATGATAAATTTAAATGGTTTATTGATTTAGAAATAAACACCTCACAAGCACTTGCTTAAGATATTAAACATGTGTGGATACATCAGGTGTTTCAACAAGCCTAAATAAATGGATCAATACTTCCGGTAATATACACATGACACTGGCCTTTGGTATAAATTTATTTTGGCTGGTAGCGAACAGGTTTATAATAATAATAGTAGTTGACTAGTAGCCATCAGATTTAATAAGAAGGGATTTGAGGACTGAATGGATTGTAGCCACTTTCATTGGAGGATATTGAGGCAATATACTCAAAAAAACTTAATATGATTTATTAACAGTTCCAACTGCAATAAAAATTTAATATTTCAAATTGGGCTTATTCCAATTTATCTTTAGTAATAACGGTGAAAGATGAGAAGAACTCGGCATGTAACCAGGTGAGAGAAGGGCTGAGAGCATTTCTCTGACTGTGAATCTCAGCTGAAGATGATCTCTTCGAAGATGTTACCGCACATAAGTCTCCGCCGAGACAGCATCAATGCTGCCTTCATATCAATGAGGATGACGAACGGCCAATTAAAATCTGCGACACCTACTGTAGACAAAGCAGAGGCAGATGTCTTCTCGATGGATCATATGACTCATCAAGTAGAGTAGAAGGAGAAAACGACGACAGCTGTCATTCATTGTTCATTCCAAGTAAAATGAAATGAAGATCATTGATGAAGTGCACCATGTTATCTATTAATTTTACAGAAATAAATAAATGCCAATAATCATTTATTTAAATTATAAAGAAATAAAGATTATATAACAAACATAAATTAAAAACAAAAAAAAGTTTAGATGGTGGATCAGATTCAGAGAAATAATTTTTATAAATTTATAATAGATTTACATAAACTAATCAGTGACATCCTGATGTAATAAAAAAGATCTAAACTGAGAGTAAAATCCTCGAAAAAGTGTGACAATAAATACAAAAGCAAACTTTAATTAAAATCGAGAAGGGTCGTAAAATAAAAAACAAAACTGTTTTTACATGATTTTAAGGTTAATATTTTGTAAACTTGAATGAAATATTAATAAACATTAGGGAATTTACTTTTATTGCTTGCAGGTTATGAAAGATTCAGGAAAACAATACACTTCTGGAATTAAATAATTTCTTGAAATTGATTTATAATTTTTGCTAATTTTTTGGCTATCAATCTTAACCCAGTTAATAAACCATACATGGAGAATAGTTAGTGGTATAGAAAGATTAAAATTATCATTTTCCTTATTTTTAACATATACTATCTTTGTTTGTTTTAGATTCTTAGTGTCAAGCAAGAAAAAATAATTATCAAAAAACCTCTTTACATCTCGCCCTTCCCCCCAAAAAGACAAATATCACTGAGCATCTATTATACAAATATTATTAAGAACTAAAAAAAAGAAAAAAAAAATGTACAAAACTTTGAATAATCAGCAAAGGATAGCAATAGCACAAATACTAGTTTAAAAACAAAATTAAATAAGAAATTAAAATATGAAGATAGCATTTCATGAAGACAGAGAAAATAGGAAAACAAATCTTAACAGAAAATCAGAATAAAGAAAGTAACAACACAAAGACAATAAAGAATAACTAATGGGGAAATAATACAAGAAAATAACTATAAAATCTGAACTGAATCAAAGGTTAGAAATTGTGACTTCTAATTATTAAATTTATAACTGAACACTGAAAGAAATCTTAATACTTTATACCTTTTCAATATATTGTACTCCAAGACCTTTCCCTCTCCACTTTATTTTTGATACGCTTTGACTGAAGTCGACGTGTATTCTACGGTCATCAATTAGAACGTTATCCATTTTCAAGTAGGCTTGCTCACAGGATTTTTGATCTTCGAATTCTACAAAGGCATATTGTAGAGAGTCGCCAGTTTGATGGTCACGGATAACTTCACAGCTATAAAACATAAGATGGAATTAATAGAACTAAATTAAAGTCCACTTAATCACACAGCAGAAAGAGTCTATGACCAAAAATGACAAGGTATAAAAACATATGGAATCTAATTATGATATCAATTAAACCTTAAAAACGAACCTCTTAACTTTACCAAACCTCCCAAAAAGGATTTCTAAGTCTTCATCCGTAGTAACAGGATTCAATTTACAGACAAACAGCACATTTTCAGGAGGAGCTACATCAGCATGAGGAAGGTCTCCAACGATTTCTAAAATAGTAGCTCTAGCTTTTGCCTCCCTATCCGCTTTAATTTCTTGTAACTGGACTTCAGACAGACCCTCTTCGTCATTGATTTTTTCATCAGCTCCAATCCTACCATTCTGAAAATAATAATTAAAACGTAAAAAAAATGTGTTCAAGAAAATAAGCAATCATAGCAATCATTAAGCCATACACTATTTCTTCATTTTTTTAAAATACTAACCGAAGCTTGAATAGATGATAAATCAGGAGAAGCATCAGGAATCAAAAGACCAGGTAGATCATCGAAAGGATCCTCAAGAATAACAGTATGGGTGATCCTAATGCAAATGAAATGTCAACATGAATGACTTAAGATCAAAAAATAATAATAAATCAATAAAATTTTTTTAATTTTCAGTAAAATTCTACTGATCTCTTCTATTGTTCTGACATTGAGTTAGTTTGGTGGTATTAAACTTTAATAAAACCAAATTTTATTCCGGCAGCCATTAGTTCAAAAATCATTTTAAGATAAATTTGACTTGTTACTCCAATCATGTTATGATTGTTTTCTATTGATATATGCACTATTCAGGATAACTGATTGTTTGAAAATGGCAACTGAACAAAAGAAAGTGACGGTAAAGGCCAATTTATATGGTCAAGTTTCTTGATCAAATAGAGTTCCTTCAAAAATTAAATGATTACTATCTTTTAATTTAGTATTTATTTGATCGCAACCCCCAATTAACTCCTTCTCATATTCAAACTATATTTTCAAAGAGTTCAAACTGTAAAGAAACTTAGACAAAGCTTTCATCAAGATTTAAAACATATTTTTAAGTTTTTTTACCAGGGATTTTATTTTTATTTGAGAAACAGAGGCTAAAATTTGGTATATAATACATTATATATAACTAAAAAAGCACAACATTCATTGATTTCTACATCGTTCATTAAGATAATATCAATAATAAATATAAACAATTTAATATATATTATAATTACCTGATATCTTGATAAGGTCTATGTTGACTGTCGCAAATAGCATCATTCAGTTTAATAAGAATATCATGGCCTTCAGTAACTTCAGCAAAAACACAGTGTTCCTCTAAGGATTTCAGTTCGGTTCCAAGAGTGACGAAGAACTGAGATCCTAGCCTACAAAACAAATAATTGGTTTTTGAAAAATATAATGAGGCTAGACTGTAAAGAAATAATAATAATAACAAAGTAACCTATTAAAACATTCCATAACAAAATTACAGCAATAAATGGTTTTAATACTATTCAGTATTAACAGGGATCAATTTAACAATTACGAGAGCTAATAACATCCATGCTGCTGCCATTAGTATGCTTGATAAATAAAATTTATTGAAAAAATACTATAATTCAGACATAGAATTTCAAAAACAACCAACGCCCATTTTCTTCTCTTTTAATATTATAATAACTACCATTTTTGGTACTAGATTACAACAAGGTAAAAGAATTCCTTTCAAAAATAATTTATTCATATGAGATTTAATTGTTTTCGAAAGATATTATTTTACTTCATGATAATGTTATCAAAACCATTAAAAAACATAAAAATAAAAATATTAAAATGGAGCTCGTTGGTTCTGTAATTCTATATTTCAATTTTTTAAACTATAGTAAAACTACAATAAATTGGCAATCTGAAGGAAAACTGATACGGCACAAATTTTTTATTTAAGTTTAAAAAAATAATAAATAACTTCCTTTTTGTTCAAATTATTCACTTTGGTTTATTTAATGTGAAACATAACTTAAAACTATATCAACAAATACAATTTACAGAATAAAAAAAATTAAATGTTGAAAATAAATCTACATAAACATTTAATAAGGCAATCCTTTGTATATCATATGAAATATAGTATTACTATATGAATTAAAAATGAAAAAAAAAAAATGGTAAAATCACAATCCAAGCATAAAAACAGACCTCATACTATAAACCCATTATAAGGCCTAAGATCAAATAATAAAATTAAAGGAGAAAGTATAAGAAAATGAAAACCATTTATATTTAATTTATATTCAAGTTTAAAGATTTTACTTCAGGACAAGCAAGACTGGACTGAGTAAATGTTACAAGACAAACAAGTCACACACCTTTCACTTCCATCCATAGATTTCTCCAAAAATAGATCAGAATATGCTGTGGTTTGTCATGAGCAAACTAAATGTGCCCTTGAAGAATATTAAACAGCAAATGTGATGCTAGTGGCGGAATTAACAGATGCACATAAGGAAACATTACTGAAGCTTTTCTTAATAATAGGAACTTATCCAAAAAAAGACTAATCAAAATATTAAAATAAGAAACAATATATCGAATAATTCCCAAATCGTTCATTATAACAAATCAATGATAAGTTGATAGTTAGGATTGTATTCAAATTTAATTAACTAATAACATTAAAAAAAAAAGAATATTTAAGTATAAGATTTGAAGCCATTAATCCAAAACCATAACATTATTGACATGACAACAACATACAACATGACAAGCATTTTGTACCCCTTTTCCAACATTTAGTAAGTAGTATTTTCATGTTTAAAAAAAAAAAACTGAAAAAAATTTATTTATTTTTCCATTTCAAGTTCTATGGTAACTAAAGGTTTTATAATAAAATAAATGTTCTATTATAAATACAAATTCTATAATTAAATAAATGAAATACGGTACTAATTCATAAAACTTACGATGACTCACGAAATTCAATAAATTTAGTAACATATGTAATTGTATATGAAAATGATTCTGAAAAAAAAGGGAACAAAAAATTAATTAACAATGACCAAAACTAACTAATATATTAGAACCTTAAACAATGTTTAATATAATAATACTGGGCAATTAACTAGTTCAAACATTATTTCTATAATTCGGGACAGACGGCTGTTTTCTTTCATTACTGAGGGGTATACAAACTGAAAATATTCCATATCAATCAACATGAAAATACAACTGATCCATAAAACTTTTAATTTATTTGGATAATGAACTTGATGAAAGAGCAAAGACAGTGGAGATAAAGTTAAAATGTGTTTTTGTGTAGACATACAAATAAATGGCCTTTAAACCTCAGATAAAATCACTTAATAGCATTACACAACATATACAGCTAATCATTCTTTTTGCAACTTATTTTTATGCATGATTGCTAGAATACCCTACATAATTTGTAAAATATATACTGACTGGCAATAAATAAAATGTTTTGATTATATTTTTGCATCACAACATTCACAGCAATAATGCAATAATTAACAGGATTTGAACTTACTTTCAAAATATAAAAACTTTACTTTACTTTACTTTTAAATGAAATATTAAAACCATATAAGAAAGTTTTTAACATATAACAGCAAAAGACACAATAATCATAGATTATCAGAGAACATTAAACGTTAAGGAGTAAAATTATTTAAGAAAAAAAAATAATCCATTCATTAATTGGTAAAAGACATTTTTTTCATTTTATTCATTCCTCACAAATTTAGAGCCAATAAAGAATTGAAGTTATAAAAATGGATTAATAAATATCTGCATGCCATGTATAAGCAATAATAATTATAAAATAGACAACTATAACATATAACAAAATTTCGAATTGAATGAACACAGATTTATAAGAGTTTAAGAATTGATTAGAAAGTGGTATACATACATGTTATTGCCATAATTGACCATAGACAACAACCCTGGTTTGCTGTGTTTGATTTTAGGCATTTTTTCAGCTTCATAGTATTTTGATTCCTCACCATATACAAGTCTAAAACAAAAATTACAAAATTTCAATAAAAATGAAAGTTTCTCTTAATACAAATTACTCCAGTCTTAAATCAACTAAATAAATATATTACCCAAAAACAGATTCTCCTCCATTTCCAATTCCAGTTGGATCTCCTGTTTGAGCGATGAAGTTAGGTTGAATGGTATGAAACAGGCAGAAGTTGTAATACTTGACTTTACACAACTTCAGGAAGTTTTTACATGCTATTAACAGAAACGTATTAAGCTATAGAAAAAGTTAACTGATCAAATAAAAATACAGATGTGAACATCCCTAAACCAGCAACAGATGCATAAAATATTTCAACTTACTTTGAGGTCTTTCTTCGATGAATAAATCAACAGTTATATCACCTAAAGTTGTTTCTATAACAACTGCCATCTTATTCTGATAATACTTATCCCATAATTTCTAAGGCATTCCAATGCACCACCAAGTTTCTGAAATATGGTGATTCTGAAAGGGAATTTTAATTTGTAATCAGATAAGTCATGACTAAAATATTATAGCTACCAATAGAACCTGATTATTAGTGTATTATATTTAAATAAAAGTTATAATCCATGAAATTTAAATTGCATGACCACTTACTAAATCAAAGCAAGACTGAATAGTAAAGAAATGCGTGTTTTCTTTTGACATACTTACACAACTTTCTTTTTCAATTTTCATAGCTCAGATTTATAGGGTATAAATGACATTTTAAAAACTAATATACAAAGAAATTCGTACAAACTAATACCCACACACTGTCACGTCATACTAACCATATGTCGAAAACCCTCGGAGGTTTCAACCGATTTGTTGTAGCTCCCCAAACAACAGGACCCAGGAGTCCGCTGTCTAGAAATGATTCCGGAATTCCCACTTTATGTTGGCAACACTGCTCTGTTTACATTCTTGTTTCTATAGCAAGCAGGTTACTTTTTCATTGTCATTGTGTTTAGTAATTGAAATATTATTTATATTTCCAACTACGCATGTCATTCTCTTGGTAAACGATTAAATAATTAATTTGTTTTTAAAATGAATAACTCGAGCTCTGCTGATGGATGTGACAAGACCTCTTCGAAAGATAAACTACTTGAGAAAATGAAAAAACTTAAAGAATTGCATCTGAAAAGGGTATGATAATTTACCATTCTTGTTAATTTATTGTCGATGATTTTGTAGTGAGTTATTCAAGGATACTTCACCTGTATAGGAAACAAAAATTGGAATTTAAAATTTGTTAGCTCAAGAGATCAATTAACTTAGAATTCAAGAGGTTTTATTTCCTCATTTAACAATAAGATCCAAATTATTCCTTAAACTTCTTTTTATATCCATTATCTCTGGGTGATTATATTAGGTATATTAATTATTGTTCATGGTCAACTGAATATCAAAATCTTAATCTAAACTGAATTCTAAAACTGATGCAATAGTGTTAACATAAGTATCGTTTTAATATTTTTATTTCATTAATTTTATGGTTCGAGCAATTATACTCCATTTTTTTGTATTGAAGACCTTTTAGAATTTTTTATCTAATTCTGCTTTATCGATGTAAGATGAAGTCAATATGACAAAGCACTAGATGCCACAAGAAGGCTAGAGAAGAGTTAGAGGTTTGGAAAGACTGCTTCGTTTAACTCTTCTCTTACAGTCTTGACATCTAAAAGTGCAATGATCGATGATCTTGGATTGTGATATTTATAAAAGTTTAGATAAAATACAGTTTAAACCTGCTGTGTTTAGGTATAAATCAATCTTTTGGTCCCATCTGGTTACTGGTGATAGAAATTTATTATTTTTATTTATTTAAACACTCCATATCACAGATTGATATCTATATTTGAAACCATGGTGGTGATCAGGGTTTAAAATGATTTAATTACATCACTTCTTTTGACTTCCGCTCGCTATGCTTCCACAAAAGAGATACACAAAGCTGAGAATATTTATATATATTAAATAATATCAATATCCTAAATTTCAACTATGTTTACTATGTTCACTATCCAACAATGTTTAATATTATTATATCACTCTCTAAAAACTGTCTGAAAAATGGTTTTATGGTTAACTGATGAGGTACAAAGATATTTTTACTCCATTAGTTGTGTTGATTGGATTTTATCTTGGCATGATGGATTTCATGAATAATTAACTTTCAGCCATTTATAATCACCTCAAAAATCCACATTCACAGTCATTCCATGTTCTTATTGGATTGTCAGTGGCCGCCTTAACAGAAATATAAATTAGGAGAACAACATGTATTTTTGTAAGAATATCTCACTTGTCCATGTTATTGAAACAACTGATTAAACAAAATGAAAACTCAAATATATGTAGTATACTGTTTTATCTATTAAAAAAAAAAAATTCATAATTTGGTTTGTTAATATTATTATCATTAATTGTTGAATCTTGTTGATTTTTTTCATCTTGATTTTGTTTAATTATAGAATGAAGCACGCCAACTGAACCATAAGGAAGTAGTAGAAGAAGATAAGAGAAACAAACTGCCTGCTAACTGGGAAGCACGAAAACGGAAAGCAGAATGGATTTTAAATGATGAACAGCAAAGGAACGACGCAAGTGAAAAGGTAAGTACATTTTTTTACAGTTTAGAATTATGTTGATAAAATAATTAGATTAATGCAAGGATATTATTTCCATGTCACTTTTATCTTAATTTATATTTTATTATAATTTTAGTTAGGAAAGTTAAGTCGGATTCGAGAAATTCTTAGTTAGGATAGTCGGATGTATCTTTAAATCATTTAACAATATAGTATATTTAAATTCTTTGTTTAATAAATTTAATTTCTTAGGGTGAAGACTATGACAGAACAAAATTATTGAATGTGAGTGCTTTGGAAGCAGAAAGATTAGATAGACGAAAAAAGAAAAAGAACCCTGATCAAGGCTTTGCTGACTATGAACAGGCAACAATCCGCCAATACAATAGACTAGTTAAAAACATAAAGCCTGATATGAATGATTATGATAGACAAAGAGAAAAACTAGGAGATGCATTTTATGGTGGTAGAAATACAATTTTACATGGATTACAAAAAGATACAAAGGAAGGTATTGATCGAATGGTTAATGACCTAGAGAAACAGTAAGTTTTTTTTTTTTTAAGTTTCCCATACTTAGCAATTAGTGTTTTCATTTATTTTATTGACTTTTTTATGTCTTATTTCCAATTTTTTTAGAGTTTACTCTGTACATGTTTATTGTGGATTGGTTTCCTTCTGCTGAATACTGTATGCTTGTATTTCATCCAAATCATTAAATAACTATTGAATTATTCCTAGAATAATTAGTTTAAATTCTTATTACTTGGTTTTGACCTACTTTTTTCATATTGATTAACTGCCTTTATAACATTTTTATTATTTATTTAATGAAATTTACAACTGTACAACCAGTAAAAATGCACACATTAGAAATAATGACATGAACAAACTTAAAGAAATTACAACAATAAAATAAAACAGAATTTTTGTCTTGCTATAGCTTATTTTTTCTGTTGGCATTACAGACAATGTAGATTTTTTGCCGCCTTAACAAACCTGCTCCATCTTTGCCTGTCTTGGGCTATTTCTTTCCATTGATCTGCACGCAGATCTATCGCATCTTTGCTGATTCTATCTATCCATCTGCTTTTTGGCCTTGCACTTGGTATTTTGCATCTATTGAGGTATTCATTGTTACGTAGAGGCTTCCAGATGGATTGCTGTGAGCTATATGTCCTGCCCATTTTAACTTCCGTGCCTTCATATCATGAGATATTGATTGACCAGTTTTTGTAAGCAGTTCTTTGATGGTCTTTCTCCTCTATGTGTTAGTACTCTGACCCCAGATCGCTCCGGTTATCGTGAGGAGAATTTTCCTCTCTAGTCTTTCAACACTTTTTCTAGGGTGCTGGCTAGTGTCCAGGCCTCACAGCCATATATTAGAACTGGCTTTACCATAGCATTGTACATCCTTAATTTTAGATTTGTTGGGATTTCAATACCTTTGAGATGGAGAAGAAAGCTCTGTTTGCGCTAGTTATACACTGGTCTATTTCTGCTCATTGGTCATTCATTGAGGTTTATTGTGGAGCCATCAAATACCACCAGGTATTTGAATTTTTCTACTGCCGGGAATGATTTTCCTTCTATGCAGATCCTGTTATTGGAGTGGAGTTTTCGGCTTATTATCATATATTTTGTTTTGAGTTCATTTACTTGTAAGCCCATCAGCTCTGCCTCTCTTATCAGTGTTGTAGCTAGTTTCTCAACGTCTTCTTGATTACTTCCAAGGACAGCTATTGATTTAGTTTATAACAAATTATTAATGTTGCTTTTTTATATACATTTTAATGAATCTCATGAACATTTAGTTTCCATGCATTTTTTCATAATTTTATTACTTATTTATTAATCAAATAGTATTATTCAGAATTTTTCAAAATCTGTTTAATTTTTATAACTTATTCTTCTATATATGTTAGATATTGCTACTTTCTTTTTATTAATATGATTATTCAGTTCCACAGAAATTATGATAATTTTATATTGTAGATTTAATTTAATATAATTTTATTTTGTGTTATAATTTGTTTTTGTTCCTGTAGGATATCCAAACGTGAAAAATATAGCAGGCGCAGAACACATAACGATGATGCTGACATCGATTACATCAATGACAGAAATATGAAGTTCAATAAGAAACTGGAAAGGTTTTATGGTCAATATACCACAGAAATCAAACAAAATCTTGAAAGAGGAACTGCTGTTTAAAATGTATTTAATTCATTTATTGATCAATTAAATTTTTGGAAAAATCAATGATACGTGGAATTTAAAAGGTTTTATGTTTTCAAAGCCAAATGAATTATATAAGTTGATGAAGATACCTGAAAAAAATGTTAATTACTTTGTTTAATTTTTCAATCTTTATTAGATCACTTATTTGTTTTTAAACATAGTACAAATTATTATTTTGTTATGTTTTTGTGGAAATAATTCTTGTAAAAAATTATGTTAATTATATATACATTAATATATCTATTATAATATACATCTATGTATAGATAATAATTAAATTGATACTCAGTAAGAACTTTATTAACATTTATACATAAGATTCTGGAAAATAAAGTATAATTTTTACTAATAAATAATGAAACAATTTCATTACTTGTTTTCTATCTTCCTGCCTGTGCCTTCATAATCTTCTGCGATATTTTTTTTAAATTTTACTTCAGTTATCTTTAAATATTTATGCCAAAAATGCATTTAAAATAATAGTATACTTAATCAACAGCACCTTTTAAAATTAATTTAAAGAAATTATCATGATCATCAAATGAATTAATCTTGAGCTAAATATGATCACCATCCAAGATATCATACATTTCAGAAAACAATGTTTTAAATAGATAAAACATCAATTAATAATGTCCAAATTTTTTTTTTTAAATATTATATTTCATATTTGTTGTATGGATGTCAGCGTGTCAGTTTTGATGTAAAGAAAATATTCAAATAATGTGCTTTGACATATTATATTGATGGCAATAGTGTAGCTGATAATCAAGCAATATTTTTCATTTTGATTTGTTATCGAACTTGACTTGATTGAATTTCAGTGATATTTATAGTTCTAATTGTTCACTGAAAAATAAAGAGGAAGACCAAGGCTTCGATGTAAGAAGGGCATGGAAGCCTCTCCAGATACGTTCTCCAGCGTAGAATATGAAAAAGAGTGGCCATATCATGGTAAAATAAAATATGTCTAAATAGTCACAGAAAATTTATTAAGAAAATAATGCATCAAGACTATAAACAAATATCACATTAGATCATAATTCAAAGTTGAAATAAACAGTATATTAATAGCGTTAAGTATTGAAATAATAATAAATAAAAAAAAAAATACAACAAGATAATCACATAAATCTAATTTGAAAGTACTTAAATAAGTTAAAAGTTTAAAAACATTTAGCAACATGGTTTTCATGCACCTTATACACATCTGTTCATTATTAAACCAGCAGTGTTTCATTTATATAACTGATAGTAATGATTGTTTAACGTTTGTTTTGTTTTTGCTATTTTATTACAATTCGCAAATTATTTAATTTAATATCGCACAATGATGAATCATATTGCACAGCCATTGGTGAAAAATATATACACTTTTAAGTATTTTTTCATTGTTCATTGCATGATTCATTTTCCAACTCCTGAAAAGATAAAATATTGTTAATTGAGAAAAAAAAACTGCTACAACAGCCTTTGTAGGGCCTATGGTCCTACAAGCGAATGTCAGTGTCAGCCGCAATAATAATATTTAATTTCAATATTAATAATGTAGATCTAAAGGAAATAGTCAATTTTTTGGTTAAATTAAAATCAAGGCTATTAACTCCAGCCTAAAACTGAATTGAATAGAGTCATGCATGATCCTCTGCCATTTCATGTAATGTTTAGCTATACCTAAGCCTCGCTTGATTGTCGAGTTTCAAGTTTTATTTCATTTCATAAGATAGTAGTTTTGATTTGATTATGAAACATATCTTTTTTTTTTGCTTCAGTTATTAAAATCTAAGTATATATATTATAATCTAAGTGTGATCAGAAATGAGCTGTTTGGTTTATCTCTTAACATCACTACATTGTTGATTAGTGGATTGAGTACCTACAGCTATGTTATGAAATAGACTGAGTATTAAATAGTATTTTAATTATTAAGTCTTTTAAAAAGTAAGGTTAATAATATACCTTCATGGAGAAGATCATCTTCATTTTCTTTATTCAATCGTTGCCTGGTTGACGTCACCAGAAGTTCACTAAGAAAAAACTTAAAATCAACTCAGAAATAAATACAACAAAAACTGGTCATTAATCAGTTTTATCAGACATTGTTAGTAAGTTTTATAAAATGTATAATTCTAATTTAGAATATTGATTAAATTTATTACTCTGTATAATTTAATACATTTTTATTTTATTATTTCTACGAGGCTTTTAAGTATTAATTGGTAATAATAGATTAAAATAAAATTTATTTTGTCATATAGTGAAGATAAAAATTATTCATTAAGCTTTTTCATTCATTTAAAAGGTATTGATATAAGTATACAGAACCATCACATGGATGGGTGACAGGAGCGCAGCGGTCAAAGGGGCAAAAATAGAAAGAATACATTCATGAAAACAGTGAAATTTCTATATGCATTCGACTTTCTGATTCAATCTTTTCACATTTACCAAACTATATGATGATTAGTGTCATGTCAAGAAGTACTGAGTCTAGTGCAAAATCTGGATTGAGGTACTTTTGTCTCACTGAGGAGGAAAATCACACAACATTAATTTTTAAATTCATTAATCACTACAATAGCAAAGCTTAATATCAAGAATAAAGTCTGGGCTCAAACTGAGAATTAACAGTTCTATTATTCAAGGAAAGTTTGGAAAATGTTTTTTCTCTTTGAAAGCGCAACATCTCTATTCTGTGCATCCAGTTCTGCATCATAATGTTGCAATGTTTGAAATGAAATGAAATGAAAATAATTTTATTATTCTGGGACTAGTGTCCCTTTAGAACAAGTCACAAATACAGAATATATATCAATATTTTGGTGTGTCCATGAAATACTATTTACAGGTTGATTCGGAGTACAATAAAGTTATAAATGATGAAAAGATATAAATACGTGTAAATATAAAATATACAAAGAAATTAATTAAGTGAACGAAATATTGATGAATTACAAAATAATCAGAGTATCTGGGTGTACTTTGAGGTTTTTACAGCTTAGGTTTTTAAGTGCATTTCGTGATCAATCGGATTGGGAATGGAGTAGGTGTTCGAAGAGGAGAGATTTGAAAGAGGATATTGATTTTGCGTGTCGAATATCTGAAGGTATAGAGTTCCAGAGGGAGACAACAACTTGTATTAAAAAGGATTTATCAAATGCAGCAGTTCGGTGAGGGGGAGGATAGAGGTCGGAGGCACGGGATCTGGTGGGACGGGATTGAAAGGAGAGTTTGAATTGTAGGATCTGTAGAACATAGGCAGGTCACCGTGTTGTAATGGCTCGGTATAGGAAGGTAGCCAGAAAATATTGACGGCGGTAGGACGGATAGAGCCACTTCAACTTGGTGTGGAACTGGGTAATATGCGTATCCCTTGAGATCCCGAAGATAAAGCGGATTGAGCAATTCATTAAACGTTTAAGTTTGGCTTCGAGTTCTCCCGAGAGTCCACCATACACCATACAGCCATAGTCGAAGTGGGGGAAAACAAGAGAGGAGACCAGGAGTGGACAGGTTTTGAACGGAAGAAGATAACGTAGATGGTTAAACTGTTTCAGAATGGATATAGTACGGCGGGAGATTTGTGGTTTCCAGGAGAGGCTTTGATCGAAGATAACGCCTAGGTTTTTAATAGTAGTATGGAAGGAGATAAGTGAGTTGTTCAGAAGAAGATTAGGAGGTACTGAAATGGATTTGAGGAGTGAGGGGGATATGATCAGGATGGCCTTTATCTTCTCCGTATTCAATGTCAGCATATATGCATCTGTATTGCAGTTTCAGGATAGCATTAGAGGAATCTGTCGGGTTGAAGGAAAGATAATGTTTGCACCAAAATTGGAAAATGTTGGTTTCCTGATTTCATATGTTGGCCATGCGGTATGTTATGATGTAATGTGCAGTGGATTCCAACGTGATTGAATAATGTAATAATCAAAACCTGAAGGAGAATCCGCTGTTTATACCACTTTATTTTCCAAAAATTTCAAGTTATAATAAAATATTTGTCCTAAAATCTACAACTTTCTTTCTTCTCCTCTTTTAACTGCATGATTATTGTTTTTTTTTTGTGGTTGTACTGAACTTTCAGAAATATTTTTACAAAAAAATTCTTGAACTTGAGGAAAAGTTTTTTTTTTTAGAAATTGTAACTAATAACTCTAGTTTCAGCTGCCATATATTCACATATAGGTTAGAAATTTATAGGCCATTTGCGGAAATGAAAACGGGTATCTAGGTATAACTTGCAAACATAAGAAAATAGGCTACTAGCTAATTTAGAAGGGAATGAGGAGTATTACAACCCATGCGAAAGCTCTATATGAGTATTTATTAGAAAGACAAGTTTATCTTTATATCTGTGACAACTGTACATTGTATGTTAGGAGTATCTATGTGTGAGAAATCATATTTATGTAAAAAAACCATTGAAAGCTTAGATTTTTCACAGGTACAAGTTCCATTTTCGAGTTTCAGCGCATGATTCACAAAGGAATGTTCATCTCCGTAATAGCCATATAACTTAGCCCATTAGACATAAAGAAACGGTGAAAAATTAGCTTTATGGAGATACCTATAAAAATCCACAAAATTGATATACTTTTCACATGTGGTAGAGATATATAGATGAAGTTATCCTACTATCATGGTCTTATTTGAGTTTTTCATTCCTTTTTAAAGCTAATATAGCATTGTCATCAGCAGCTTTTACTTGTACCACAACATAACACACAACCACGATGTTTAGAAATTTTCATTCCCGATTTCTATGATACAGTATTACTATCAGTACAAACATGTAAAAACTAGATGTTTTTTCTCACCAAAGTTGTGATCCCTTTTTTAAATAATTATATATTTTTTTACAGATACTATAGACAATTATCTTATTAGTTATAAAACTGAATGTCTTAATTAGTTAGTTTATTTATGTAAGAGACTAACTGATAACTTAGCGTACTAACATAGAAAGCCCT